GGTGCACATGTAGAAATCAATAAAATATAAGATTTATAGACCAAAATATTATTTGTCATCAGGGCATTTACAGCTATTACACAGACATAATCTTGAATTTTGATTAAGGAATCTACTACAGAAGAGAATATTTAAAAAACGTTCAGGAAAGTGGGACAGGGGCTTAGTTTAATAGAACAGAGGATCGATAAGGAGTGTTCACAACAGAGTACGAATTGGACGTGTGTCAGTTTTAGATGGACTCCCATTACACTGCTCAGCAACCTGCTGACGTCCAAGAAGTAAAATGTGCTGAGCTCTCTGTTCCATGGAGAGGCTGAAGATGAAGTACTCTGGGTGGAGCGAGTGCTATCTGGGAGAGACAAAATAAGCCAAGTCACAGAGAGCCAAATGATGATTTTAATTGGAGACACAATGTGTCTGGTCAAAGAGATCCCATGGGGTAGATGTAACTATTTATTAAGAAGCCCTTTATTTTTGGAAAGAACAGAATATTTTAACGGTCAGCTGGATGTCTGATTAAATAAGTGATTTCACCTAAAGTTATATAAATGTTTAAACCTTCTACAGTGATTAAATAAATCAGCATTATTTCAAATAAGAATGGTAAATATGAGCTACCTTATACTTTTACTAGTTTTAGTTCATGATTTTTTAAAACATTTACTATTTAATGTATACAGCAAATGTGTCATATTAAAGGAGCTTCTATATATTTTTGATTCAATTAAGTATAATTTATATTTAAGCAAAAATATTAAATAATGATATTAAATTATTTTAAAATACTAAGAACTGGAATAACATATATTTTTTGTAAGCATGATAAATAATGGAGAAAAACTTGATTTTGAGCCAAGAGACAGTAGCAAGCATTTTTTAATTAATTTTAATCTTGATAATGTTTTAATGTGATTTAATATGAAATAATCCAGTTACTATAATTACATCTTTTGGGACTACCGGGAACATTTAGTTTAAAGAAAACAAAAATAAATGTTTTAAATGAAAAATGTGTAGCATAATGAAAGAATTTTCAGTTCAATACTGCTTTTTAAATTAATTTTCAGAGTTTAACTTGCTGATTAATATTCAATGACAAATGTAAGTGAAATAGGTAGAGCAGAGATATTGATATGACCAACATAAAAGTAACTTTTTATTGTCACATCTCCCCTTAATCATCTGGATTTTTCCAGGATACAGAGATTGGAGTTTAAAAATAGCAGTCTTAGAACATTCAGATTTATTTTCCATGATTAATAAGGATTAATAAACATTTACAAGCTAG